ATATATATATAATATACACATATAAACATGCAGAGGCGTTCGTGTTCCACAAAAGGGGGCGGCGTAGGGGCACCAAAAACTCTTCCACGGCACTTGCAGAACAGCTGGGGAAAGGCCTAAGCCAAACCTCCCACCAAATGCGGGCCTACCTTTAGGGGGGGACGGGGTGGAGGGGGGGCGGGACGCGCCGGGGCGCAATCATACATACGTACATACATGTTAGGGCTGTCGGAAGCCGCGTAACTAGGTGTCGGCTCGGTTCCATCCGTTTTGTTTTCGTCAGGGGCGTGGGTGACTGCAACTTTTTGTGAAGTGGGTCGCTGCATAAAACTGTGGGGGTGGATTGCGACGTCGCACCAGCATCACTTTCGTGACGAGGCGTGCCATCGTGCAGAGAGACTTGCCCGACGTGCAGGTCGAAAGGCTGCCAAGCATCGTGGCATTGAGAAGGGATGGCTTCTTTCTTCCTGGGGGTTTGTAGTGAGGAAAACACGAAGAAAGACAGCAAACAAGCAGGAAAGGAACACAGGAAGTTGCGGAAAAGTAAGACAGGAAGTGAGACAAGCCAAAAGCGTAGTTTTCTTACCACCTATTCACAGGAAGCATAAACGCCGCAAGGGCCATAAACATTGAATGAAATTTCTGCACAAAGTTATTTCAGCACGTGACCGGGGAGAGGTTAAGCTTGGGCTCAAAGGAAGAGTATCCATCAAGCTATCACCGGCCTTCTTCCATACTGTATTGAAATCCCGCTGCTCCGACCAGAGCAACTTGCCACCGTCTTGAAATCGCATTGCTCCAGGCGGAGTTCATGACCATCGTGTTGACATCATGAATATGGAAAATCGTGGTCAGTTATCCAACATCGTGTCCAATCATCCAGCCCTTCATGTGGGATTGCCTTTACACGATGTTCAACAAACTTTGAGAATATCTCAGACAGCAACTCATGGTTTTCCATGCACCCTGGCCGTGCCCCGTACAGAAAATAACAAAACACGGACTCCAAAGCATTTAGATGAAGTCTCAACGTGGATCGGGCATTTCGGGTTAGGCCCTTCTTGCCTCAGACGAGCGTATCAGAGCCAGCGCGAACCTGAGCAATCGGCAATGCCGGCCTCCCTTCTTCCGAAAGTGCACCTGTAATGGACTCGTATTGCACATTGTATTCAAACTGGATTTGCAATGATCCGGTGCAGTTGCATGGTGCGACTGTATTGAAAGGGTATCAACCAATGTTTTTGATATTTTAATCCGAGAGGGTTTGGCACTCACAAGGTTCACCAGACACAGTTGCACAGAGACGAGGCCTGCTCCTAAGGCTGTAGGGTCAACCAGGCCTCCTCCCTGCAACTCGAGGACCTGGGTAGAGGGTAAATTCTCCATCCCGGAGCCAGGTTCCGCCGTTTGGCTGGCAAACACGACGATGCCCAGAATCCCAATGGAGCTACGAAGTGCAAACAGGGATCATGGGCCAGGTATTTCACACAAAGACAGGAGGGCGCTTCGCCGGGTCGGGGTGGTCAGGTCGACTCTCCGGCCATGGGGCTGGACATCGTCGTTCTAGGTGAGCGGGCGTTGTATTGTTTTTGTATGTTTTGTTGCTTTCAATGTTGTGTCCTCTGCTGCCTACCTTGTCTCGAAGCTGAGGCCTGTGAGGAGTGTTGCGTGCATGTAGACCAAGACCACTCAGCATCACTGCTGCTGGGCATTCAGGAGTCCGGGGCTTGCAGCAGAAACATGGCAGAAACCTTGCTCTGCATCCACCTTCTCGGCAAGTCAGCAAGTCTGAAGAGAGTAGTCATGAGTAGCCCTGCCGAATACTTGATACTACAGGAGAACGATCCTGCAACTGGTCCGCAGTGGAGGGCATGCATGGCGGTGTAGTGTTTGAGAGAGAGAGCGAGAGTGAGAGAATGCGAGAGCGCTCGACTTGTGCTGTCGAGTCACGCTCTCCCACAAGGCCCAAAAGCAAGGGTAAGCCTTCGGCTCGCGGACCTCGACATCCCCGTACGCCCCGGAGGGAGGGAGAGATAGAGAGAGGTCGACGGGTGGGCCTGAAACCCGGGGTCTTGACCGACCCCTATGCCCGGGAGAGAGAGAGAGAGAGAGAGAGGGAGACATGTTCTAGTTGTACAATTCAAATTATCAACCATAAAAATATAAAATATCCGAGACTCAAACAACCTGTTCACACCCCCGAAAGCCCCATAACATATCGGGGGCCAATAGGCCGGGGGGCCTGACACGCCCCTTATGCCTTGGGGAAGAAGAAGAAGGGAGGGCTGTGTTGGACCGGGGGATGTGCTGAGATGTCGTGAGTAAAATGTGAATGGCGTCGAATGCTGACCGCATGTTTCTGAAGGTGGGGTGCTAGACGGGGGGGCCCGACTCGCTGCTACTTTCACGCCCCTTCAAAGATGCCCCAAACATTGGGGGGGCCTTTCATGGCCAGGGGGTTTCGCACCCCTCCCTCTAAGCGCTGTGGAAGAAGGGAGGGCTGTGGAAGAAGAGGGAGAGGACGTCGACCAAGTCGTTGGCGTGAACGGGGGATCCCCCCGTCGAGCCAGCCAGCCAGCAAGCAAGCGAGCAAACGGCAGTGCTCGGGGTTGCGGGGAATTCCAGCATTTCGGGGGTAAATGCACCACACACTTCTAGATTAGAGAGCCGACGGTTGAAACATCTCACAGTCGTCAAGTCCATAAAACAGGGCAGGGAATGGGCGGGCCAGACCTTGGGACTCATGGGGACTAGGACAAGGAGATCTTTGCACATTTCTGCACTGCTTGTCCGTGGTGGACTTTCTAGACAGGTCATTGACCAGATGGCGTTTTTCGTCATGGGCAACAAAGCTTTCCCTTTGGCCCCTGTGCGGCAAAAAGTTCTGCAGTCCCTACAGTATGCAATGGGTGGCATGGTGAGATGCGAGGAGGAGTCCTCTGCCAATGAAAGTTCTATCGGAGCATGTCCACGCTCCGTCAATGTCCGTCAATGACACTCCCACCACCATCGTGGTTCAGAATTGACCGATGGTGTCCATGCCAGGCAGGTGGACGAGCTTTTATCTTCGACGGCAAGGCCCGAAGCTGACATCGGGCCCATTCCAGTGACACTGGTCATTGTGCACGAAGTTTCCCCCGCGTCTTCGAAACTTTTCTTTGGCATTGGTACTTACGGGAGCAGCATCATAGGACAGTTGCCAAGCAACCTTGTATCGGAATGCACTTGCTGAGGTGGTGCCTCACGGTGTATGGTGCATGCGGGGCCACTACCAAGGCCATGTGCTGCTAGTGGTCGTGAAGCTCTGATGACGTGCGTTCGGCAGGCACCATTTGTATCCCCGACTTTTTCATGCAACTCGCTCTGTCAGGCTCATACCAGGTCTGTCAGGTGTCCTTCGGCGAGCTTCTCTCGCTCCATTAAATCGCATTTTGCATAACTGTTGGCCGTATGCAAGAGTAGGAGGCTTGTGTTGGACTGCTTCAAACCTTTCAATCAATCTGCCCTTTGTCCATTTGTGTTCATGGCTTGTCGGGCATTGTGGCTCGTCATGACGCATTGCATGCCGTATCATCGTCGCAGTGAAGACGCGTGTTCTGTCGTTGAGTCATGTATCTAGCAAAACCCACCCTGCTCGCCAGGCATGGCATTCGTGAAGAAGGTTCCATACAAGCGAGGAGCTCGCATAGCTCGCAAACGATCGTGAACTAGAACCGGCGGCACTGCCAGCTCAGCACACGGCTGTTGCCGAAGTCAGCTTACTGCATTTTAACCAGGGCTGATCTTCGTGCCCCGGAAATGTGCAGAAGAGGGACAGAACCGAATCATTTCTTCTTTGTTCCCGGAGGCAGGAGGACGTGAAAGGATGTAGCCGCTCACTTCACAACATGACAAAACGAGTCTAAGTTTGCTGTCCTCGAGCATGCCTCTGTTCTCGTCATCTGCATCTCACCCTTTGATATGCGATGCTCGCAGGTGTCGAACCCTTGCATAGACTGGTCGGTGTTCTTGAGGTGGCCAACGCTGATGAAGATGCTGTTTGCACGAACTCTTTAAGTCAGGGGGTGGGTGACTGCTCGAGTCATCTGACTTCTGATGCATTGTCAGCGAGAGACCGGCGATGATGACCCGGTCGGAATAATGAGATTGCTCCGACTGCACACAATGGTTTATTCCGGAAAAGGTCGAGATGCCTTGGATGTGTTTTGCTCCTAGGTTGCACCCAACTCACGCATGCGGCTGGAACAGTGCCAGAAGCCAAGACGTGCCGAGGGGAGCCGTGGCAGAGCGGTTTGGGCGACTTGCCGAGGTCTACGTCGGTCGCACCTTCCAAAGATAATGCGGTCACAGGCACCAGATCTGAGGATTGAAATCATTTCAGTCCTTCTTGATGTTGCATTGAATTTGGGGATCAGCCTTCCGTAGATTTCCGGTTTGGGCTTTCCGCCCACTCCTCACTTGCATCTCCCTCCCGTGAGTTCGACTCGCAGGTGGTACATGCGACTTGGCCGTTGCCAGCTGGTCCCATGTGTAGATATTGCCCGTGTGTTCGACGTCTACCAGATTCCTGTCAGGAAGTTTTTGAAGTTCTTGGAAGTTTGCAGTCGTCGGTAGTCTTACCCGTTGGTAGTCTTACCCGATATGATTGAACACATGCGGACCGCGAGCTACATGCCTATGATTTTGCTGCAGGTGAAGCCATGCTCGTGGAGGCGACATGGACATGACAGGAAACTGCAAATGATGCAGTACTGTAGTTGTCGGATTGCAGGAAGTCGTGTTGCAAGAATCTTGGTCATATCGAAATCCTTTGCACATCTCTGCTCCTTTGAGGAGTTCTGTGCGCAGTCAATCCAACCATCGTGGTTCATGAATGTTTGCGAGGCGCGTGGCGCTTGACATTCAGCAAGAAGAGGTACCCATGTGGGCGTTGAGCTCAGAAGACTGTCAAACATACTTTCATGACAAGGCACAATGTTTCACTTTGCGCAATCTTACAGACAGCGGTGCAGGCATGGCGCACGCATCCAACCGTGGTTCTTCTTTGGGTTCGGCACTTATGATGTGCCAAGGCTTTTCCTTCTCGAAATCGCTCGCAACCATCGTATTTCGCAGCTACTTGTCAGGTGTCAGGGCATGCCAAATAAGTGAAAACTTCTTAAACGACCAGCATTTAGTACTGCACAGTCCTGAGTCGCCTGAGTCTTTGTGGGTAGTTCGATCCTTGTGCGCGATGCTGGGTATTCGGTATGAGAAGTTCCGCTGGGATGATGCATTCGCGGCGGATTGGAGCTGGCCGGCTGGCGGAGTAGCTGTATACTTGGCGATTGTTTTGGTATTAAGTCTTGGGATGAAGAATGCCAGGCCTTTCGAGCTAGGCAGCGTGGCCGTAGTCCACAACTTGCTTCTGTCGGTTGGCTCGCTCGTCATGCTGCTTGGAACCCTTTTCGAGCTGAACAGACGCTGGGCCTCTTCGGGCGACCTTGGCTGGTTCTTTTGTGAAGCAAGTACTACAGAATCCAATGGCCCCTTGTTTTTCTGGTCCTACGTCTACTACCTAAGCAAGTACTACGAGATGTTCGATACAGTTCTGGTGCTCTTGCAGAAGAGCAGGGTGCCACACTTCAAGCTACAAGTGTATCATCACGCAGCTGTGGTGCCTCAGCTGCAGGCTTTGCTGAATCCTTTTGAAGGGGAAGCCGTCTCACTGGTCTTGTTACTGGTGTTTGCAGCAGAGCACCGAAGCTTGAGTTAAGCTACATCACCTCGAAATTCAGAGAAGAACCGTTCCATACTGGAGTCGGAGATGAAGAAGCCCGCAAGCGCAAAGAGGGAGAAACAATCAGCAAAACTGCGGCCCACATGCTGAGACGCTATTTCAGGCATGAGGCCCTGCAGAAAGCTAATGCCGCAGCCAACCTGGCCCGCTTCTTGAGTCAATGGGGCCCGAGGATCCATCGCTGTAGAGATGATCTCTGGCTCTCCTGTGAACGTGTCGAAACTGATGTGACGCTCCCAACCGGCTCTAGGTGCATAGTCTCGAATCAATGCAAGGTGTGGTTGATTCGTCATCGTGATGGTCTTGCATCACCGGCATCTTCTTCCTAACGATTAGATATAATGGAGCTGACCACCCCCTTCCCTCGAACCCATGCCAGAAGCCAGAAGCCGACCCCTGTCAAGAATCATCGACCAAGTCTGAGCAGCAGCAGTTCGAAAAGACTTCACGAGAACCCCAAATCCTAAAAGAAGTGGTAGGTAGCAACCTCCGAGAAGCGGACTATTCATCGTCGGATGGGGGCATATAAGGTCTGGATACCTACTGTTTCAGTGGGAAGGGGCTGCACTGATTGGGGTGTGTTGGACAAGGTTGTGGTCCATCAGCAGGGGACTGCTAAGTAGCTATGTGCCGAGAGAATACTATCATGTTACTATCAGGGCGACGGCAGAGTCCTGGCAAGCCGTTGCTACTTTTTCCACCTGCAGGTGCCTATGGCTTGGTTTTGGTGCCAATATCAACAGTCCCTACAATGGGGAGGCTTACTGTTCAACACGCTCCCTGGCTGTTCTGTGACATTGTGATGCGCTATTGGTAATTAATCGAATCCGAGGCTGGTCCATGTCATCATGTACCACTATTACGCAATGAAGATCTTGAAGCGCCCAACTCCTTGGAAGCGATGGATCACCAAGCTGCAAATCGTGCAGTTTGCGACGAGCTTCTGCCTGTTATGTGTCACGGCATCGAAGATATATGCTGGCGCAGAATGTGCTGGAATGAGATCGCTCTTGTTCAATGCTTCTTTCAATGCCACGTTGATCGTACAGTTCATCGGTGTGGACAAGCGGAACAAAGCTCAGTCCACAAAAGCAGAGTAGCTGGAGTCTGTCTACCGCCCGGGCCGCAGAAGCCGAGAGAAGAATTATCCACGACTCCAGACTCCAAGCTGCAGATGTCCGTTTTCCGCTGTAAAAGATGCAATCTGGGGAAGGTTGACGTTCTAAGTCACAAGTGCTCGAGCAGCATATAAACCAGTCTCGAACAAGAACGTGTAAGTCAAAATTGTTGTTCCAGCATGGTTTATGCTAGGGCAAACAGTCTGCGCAAGAACAGCAGCATCGGTAAACGATGCTCTTTCATGCCACCTGAGTTACGCTGAGGTCAGAGCGAAAGGGCTGCTCCGTGCTGCGGAAGCTGGTGTGAAGCTTTCCGTGCCACACCCTCACGAAGCGGATGCAACATCCAAACAGTGCGCATCTGTCCTGGCACAACGCTGTCACTCACCCGTCTGCAGCCAGCCGCCATCTTGACCACCAAGGCATCAGCCGATCTGGCACAAATGCAGGACGTTTGCCCTTGGACAGTACCGGGCAGTGGCAAGTTTAAATGCCATGAAGATTTCCTGTTGTTCACACGAGAAAGGAAGCCATCCCAGCTCGACTTCGTCGACGAAGGGGCCGGCATCCCGGGTGGCTGTGAAGTTCATTGTCGTATGCCGTATGTTGTCGTGATTTCAGTGTATGCTTTCAGGTGTGGGGTCCATTGAAATGGGCGACGACATCTCCGGCAGAAGAGGCTCGAGTGCGGCAGAAACGTGATCAAACCTCGTTGGATCTCGTTGAGTACTGCGCACGCTGTAAATGGTCTGCTGAGAGAATTTGAATATTGTCATGAAGGTTAGATTTAGATGTCCATGTCCATACTGTGTTGCTTCGCGCTCAGACAACCCGTCGGAGAGTTCGGGCAATCGTGATAAGGGAGGACCCAGGACACTCAATTTTCATACAATGCATGACGTGAAGACCATCACCGGTGCAAACACAATCACAACAATGAGATGTATGGAGTCGAATGTCAAGATGTGGCTGAAGTGGTAATGGAAGCACATGCGCTCCTCTCCACCTCGACAGAAGCGATTTGGGGCCATCCCATCGTGCGTTGGCAGCAACAGGGGATACCCTAGAGTGCCCTCGAAATATCGCCGGGGCCAACCCTGAGGGCCTTGGTATGAGGAGCCGGGGGTGCCGGCCACAGTTCCGTATGATGCAGGGGAAGATTCGGAGGACTCCGGCAGGTCTCATAGACGGCGTCGCTCACCTCCGTTCCCTGCTCAAGCCTGGAAGCCTGAACCTTGAACCCCCAAATCCCGGGTTTAGGGTTTAGGGGTTTAGGGGTTTTGGTGTTTCGGGGTTTAGG